GAGAGCAGCAGCAGCCACAAACTACACCCCTGTATGGATACATGGTACGATATGCTGCTGCTGCTGCTGCTGCTGCTGTTGCTGCTGTGGCTGCTGCTGCTGTTGTTGCTGCTGCTGTTGCTGCTGCTGTTGTACTGGTCGCTGCTGCTGCTGTTGTATTTGCTGCTGCTGCTCCACTTGCTGCTGGTGGTGGTGCGCTTGCTGCTGCTGCTGCTGTGCTTGCTGCCGTGGCTTTGCTGCTGCTGCAGCTGTTGCTACGCCTGCTGCTGTTGCTGCTGCTGTGTTCGCTGCTGCTCCTGCTATTTTTGTTTCTGCATTTGCTGCTTCTACAACTACACCATCATCAGCAGCAACAGCAGCAGCAGCAGCAACAGCAGCAGCAGCAGCAGCTGCTGCTGCTGCATGTCTCAGACATGTATTGATAATTCCCTGTTCTCTCTCTTTCTGCTGTTTCTCCTNGCTGCTGCTGCTGCATGTCTCAGACATGTATTGATAATTCCCTGTTCTCTCTCTTTCTGCTGTTTCTCCTCCTGCTGCTGCTGCTCCCCCTGCTGCTCCCCCTTTTGGTGCTGCTGCTGCTTTTGCTTTTGCTGCTGCTGCTTTTGCTGCTGCTGCTGCTGCTGCTGCTGCAGGAGCGCGTACCTGCAGTGCCTGCGTCGTTTCTGCCACTCCTCTGAGCGTCGCTGCGCGCTGGTGTCGGCGCAGCACCAGCAGTGTCTGCGGGAAAATCAAAACTGGCGGCCAGCAGATTCCCTCAAAGCCACCAAAGTACTCGAGCTGTACGTACACCCCAACTTTTTTTTTTTTGCTGTTGTTGATGTTGTTGCTTCTCTTGGTATTCTTCTTTTTATTTTTTTTTTTTTTGTTTTTCTTTTTCTTGTTTTTGTTATTTTTGTTTTTGTTTTTGTTTTCTTTGTTGCTGTTGTTCTTTTTTTTCTTTTTCTTCTTCTTGCTTTTCTTCATCTGGTGGTGCTGCTGCTGCTGGTGCTCGTGGTTGTTGTGGTGCTGCTGCTGCTGCTGCTGCTGCTGCTGTTGTTGAGCACCCACACATGAGGATGCTACATCTGCTGCTGCTGCTGCTGCTGCTGTCACTGTTGCTGCTGCTGTTGCTGCTGCTGCTGCTCCTGCTGCTGCTGCTGCTGCTGCAGGTTTAAGGTGTATGCGGAGACAGCGCGTTTTAAATACCCTAAGCCGACCATCAGCCCCACTGCAACAGGCAAGAACCCTAAACCCTAAACCCTAAACCCTCAACCCTCAACCCCGCGTGCCCTGGCGTCTCAGCTGCAGCTGCTGCTCCTTGCTGTCTGCTCAGTGCTGCTGCTGCTGTTTTTACTGTTGCTGCTGCTGCTGCTGTTGCTGCTGCTGCTGCACAGGAACTGTTCTGGAGTTCCCTGGGACTGCGCGTCGGCGGCCTGGCCCCTCCTAGCTCTCTGACGCCGTGCCAGCTAGCTGCAGCTAGCTGTGGCTAGCTGCAGCTAGCTGTGGCTAGCTGCAGCTAGCTGTAGCTAGCTGCAGCTAGCTACAGCAAGAGCGGCGATAGCTTGTCCCTTGTTGGCTAGCTAGCTAGCTAGCTAGCTAGCCAGCTAGCTAGCTATTCATCTGCGGGCAGCTCCAGCAGACGCTGCTTCTCTCCCCCCGGGCACAGGCCACAGCACCCAGGCGCAGCTTAGCTAGCTAGCTAGCTACCTATCTATCTATCTATCTATCTAGCTAGCTAGCTAGCTCGATATGCAGTAAGCTGCACGGATATTGTTTCTAAGAGATATCGGCAATTCGGCTGCCCGCGTGGCCCCTGGCTAGCTAGCTGCTTGGCTAGCTAGCCACAGCTAGCTGCCTGGCTAGCTAGCCACAGCTAGCTGCCTGGCTAGCTAGCCACAGTCACCCGCGCTGTGCAGTTGCTGGTACACCTCAGGGGTCCAGCAGTCTCAGCTAGCTGGATCTCACCTAGATAGCTAGCTAGCTGGCTAGCTAGCTAGCTGGCTGGCTAGCTAGCTAGCTGTCCACAGGTGTGTTAGCAGCTAGCTAACCAGAACCAAATGTTCTACATCTGAGGCAAACGAAGTCGTGTCAGTGACTGTACGCACTGTTGCTGCTGCCGCTGCTGCTGCTGCTGCTGCTGCTGCTGCTGCTGCTGCAGAAGGCCTCTAAGGCCTCCTACACTAGCAGCAAACTCGCATAGCTGCAGTTTCAGCAGTAGAGAGTGTCGAGGGTTTAGGGTTTAGGGTTCAGGGTTTGGGGTTTAGGGTTTAGATGCTGTGGCGGCATCTTACCCCCCAAACAAACGCAAACAGCGCACAGCAGCAGCAGCAGCAGCATCTGCTGCTGCTGCTGCAACACCCGGCTGGCGTTGCTGCAGCTGCTGCTGCTATAGCTGCTTGTGCTGCAGCAGCTGTTGGCCCCTCAGTAGCAGCAGTTGCTGCTGGTGACAGGGCAGCTGCTGCTGCTGCTGCTCAGCTGCTGCTCATGCTGCTGCTGCAGCAGGCCTACCGCTCACCAGGAGCAGCCAGCCAAGTCCATATTGATTGTCTTCTTCGT